TTCCTGGTCTCTGTTCAGTCAGGAAGAGTCCACCTCTAAATACTGTTTTATTTCTCTGCTGTAACTTGTAATTTGATGAATTTTGGTTCAGTTTGTAAATTACTAAAAGTCTGAATAATACAAATTTGTAAATCATGAGRAAATTAAAGTTATAGTTTTGAAGCAGCCACGACACGAAGGACAACTCACTGAGCTCAGTTTGCAGGTTTGCATGTTTGGATTCTCCCATTCAGTCAGTCTGAAGACTGTTTTAACTCCTGTCTGAGAACCTCCTTTTGACACATTGTTCTCTGACTGGTCTGATGCAACAGTGTGGTCTTTAAAACCAAAACAAGCTGCTGAGCAGGAATTACACCGAGGCTTCAGAATGTGTTCAGACTCACTCACTCACCTCTTGCATATTTGTTTTGTTGCTCGACTGTTCCTCAAATTTTTATTTTTCTTGATTTTGTAGATTTCTTTAAAAAAAAACAACAACTAATATATTACATTTCTATATGTATTCTGAGCTTGGGCCCGAGTTGAAGCCACTCTGGCAGCTGTTACGACCTAGTGCTGGCCAGTTTGACCAAAAATTTATATTGCATTATTTTAAAATTATCTGTATGCGCAACAAAGCAGTTCACTGGCTCTGGTGATGTAACATGGTGGTGGATCTGTCTTGAAAAAAGGACAAGTCATGTGTTTGGGTCCACTGAAGGACACCTGCTGTCCTCTGTGAGACGGACAGCAAAGTGTCAGATTCAGAAGAGTAATTATTAACGAGAGGAACAAAAAGAAAGATTAATGCAGACTTCAGAGCTGAACTTACCTTTGAGGAGAAAAACTAAACCCTGTCTCTGACTCCAGCTGGGTCGWCCTCATCAGTGGACATGGAGAGTGGAGCAGGGGAGCTGTCTGACAGCGGCAGCAGTGGGTACTGGAGCTGGGACCATGGCAGCGTTAGCCCCGCCCCCTCGCCATCTGTCACAGAGGTGGACAGCAGCCCTGATGAAGGCCTGCACCTGGAGCTGGATCAGGGGGAGGAGCTTAGTGCCAAAAAGCCAAAGGTACACATCTGCCTCCAGAACCAATGAAATTACAAACCAGAAATAGGCTGCTGATGCAGTGAATCACTCTTAWTACTGTTCTTGTCATGAGTTTAGTCTATGTTCAGTTTAATAAAGTAGAAACAGAATGGAATTAAAGCTGTTTTGGTCAAACCTCGTCCAGTGGTTCATGAGATATTTTGCTAATAAACAGACTGAGTTGACTCAAATAGCAAACAACAAACTTTTAAAAACAGGTAAAACACAATCAGTCAGTGTTCATAGTAGAAGTTTAGCTCGATGTTTTGATAAATGGCTGAGTTATAATAGTTTTTGTGTTTTTTTAAAATTGCTTTGCTGTGGTGGCCATCTTGAAGCATCTTCAAAGTTAAAAAGGGTCAAAGGAAGTTGGATGATTGAATGTGGAATTTAGATTTTTTTTTTAGTTTTTTATGTTTGACAGTGTGTTTTGATATATACATACAATTTTTGAGATGTTTACATTCAAGATTTTACAATGTGAAATTTCTACATGAAAACATTGTCATTTTGTCTTCTTTCACCCAGTGTGTCACTCTCTGGACTTCTCTCTCAGATCTACTCAGGATACACACACATCCAAGCTTCCACACACTTATATTTTAGCTCAATTTTCTCTTTAAACTGAAACTGAAGGCTCTATTCAACTTGTCATATCTCCTACAAAAACCACAGGAAACACATGGGAAATCACATGTGACCTTCAGGCACTTCTGCTGCTCAGAGGTCAAGAGTATTATAGTTTTCGCACAAAGCTCTTTCACAAATCAGCTCTGTGAAACGGCCGCTCTGTGGGCTGAGCAGAATTAAGAGGAGTGGAGCAGAACGTATTTGGGGTAAAAGTGAAGCGCAACACAAAAAATGTGTGACAGAAGTCTCCCTCATGTCGTTTACAAAACATGACGAATTAACTCACTTTAGCAATTCTGTAATCATCAATATTCCTTTTRTACGAAATCTTTTGGTTTAATCCTGCGAGCAGTCATCAGTTCATCACAATCAAGGCGTGGCACCACAACATCCAAATGTTGCTTTTTGGTTCATGCGTCATTTCATTTTGTAGTTTTGAGTTATCTAGTTGTATTTTCCCTCCTCGCTGTTGCTCTGACCCGGTGTTGTGTTCTTCCTCTCACAGAGCTCTGTGCGAAGTGTGTACAAGTGTTTGTGGCCCAGCTGTGGCAAAGTGCTCACTTCTTCAGTGGGAATAAAACGACACATCCGTGTGACGCACCTGGGGTGAGCTGACGTCTTAAATGTTTTAACGGTCAGGCCACTTCATACTCAGGGTTAATAACGGAGGAGCTGTCGAACTCAAACATCACCTTCTGATTCAAGCTGTGAAAAGAAAACGTTGAGGAAGGAAATCACTTTTGCTTCATTGAAGCTATTTATAGGGTTGTTTTTTTTTTCCACACCAACCTCATGACTTAGAAAGAAGGAAGAAATACAAATAACAATTGACAAATCATGAAAAATCTGTCTGAGCATAAAATAAAAAACGGACCCCTTACCGGTCCCTAAACTYGATTTTAAGCAAAACAAATACCAAACATATAAAAAGATCACAATATTTTTTTTTGWAAACTAAACATTTAGCACAGCTGCAGCCATTCTTCCCATCAGCCCGAGTTTGTATAATCCTTGTGTTGAGCTGTCGTCTCGAATTGAATCAACTTAAGTTAATCATCAGTTGTAGAGCTACAGGCAGTGTTTACTTTCTGAACGTTTAAAGAAATCCATCCAGAGGTTCATGAAAGATAAATCACWTCATCACTTTTTTGTCTTCATTAACCAGGGAACAAACCTGAGCTGACACGTTTTATTTTATTTTATTATCGCCATTTTAGTTAAAGAAATCCAGATTTCAGTTTGCAGCACAAGAAATATAATCTTGTAGCTGCAGGAYTCCCCTGTTGTCTCAGTTAGATCATGCAGTTTTGATGTAACAAGCTAAAAATAAGTTATTTAATAATGTTTCAGTTGGTAAACCTCATCCGTTCATCTCTAAAGTGATGATTTACTTTAGTCTGGTTTTAGAAGTTTGTTCTGTTCTTCCAGTCTGAGCAGCTGAATAGCAGACAATTTAGCCCCTTAAAATCCCTTCTCTGACGCAAAACAGCATTAAAAAAACAGGAGGGGGATAAAATTTTCAGGTTGTGGAGGAGCTCTGACTTGATGAGAAGAAGTGAGGCTTTGTACAGTGGGGTGAGAAAGTTTGGGCAGCCTTGTTAATTTTCCTGATTTACCTTTTATAGATCATTGATTGTTTGGATAAAAAATCAGTAAAATGTATTATATAGGGCAGAGGTTCTCAAACTGGGGTCTCAGGACCCCCAGGGGTCCGTGAGCCATGCCTTGGGGGTCCTCAAAAATTTTCAATAAATTGTTAATTTTTTTAAATGCATATAAGGAATAATGCACTTGTAAAAAAACATACTAAACCAAACAAAAAATATCACCATGACATTAAGGGGTTAAAATAACAGTAAATTATTTAGCATTAACAGCATGGGGTTTATGAGGGGATCCCTGGAAATTTTTCACCCATGTAAGGGGTCCCCTGACCCAAAACGTTTGAGAACCACTGATATAGGGGACAAACAGTGAAATYTGAAGTGAAATGAAATTTAAATGATTTACAGAAGGTGTGCAATAATTGGTTAAACAAAATTAGGCAGGTGCATAAATTTGGGCACTGTTGTCATTTTATTGATTTCAAAACCTTTAAAACTAATTATTGGAACTCAAATTTGGTTTGGTAAGTTCAGTGACCCTTGACCTCCATACACAGGTGACTCCATTTATGAGAAAGAGTATTTAAGCGGGGCAATTGTAGGTTTTTCTCCTCTTTGTGTCTTCACTGAAGAGTGGCAGCATGGGAGTCTGAAAACAACTTTCAAATGAGCTGAAAACAAAGATTGTTCACCGTCATGGTTTAGGGGAAGGATACAGAAAGCTATCTCAGAGATTTCTGCTTTCAGTCTCCACTGTGAGAAACACTGTGAGAAAATGGAGGACCACAGGCACAGTTCAAGTCAAGGATTGAAGTGGCAGACCAAGGAAAATGTCCAATAAACAGAAGTGAAGGATGTTGAGAASAGTCAGAGTCAACCCACAGACCAGCACCAAAGACCTACAACATCATCTTGCTGCTAATGGAGTCACTGTGCATCGTTCAAATATTCAGCACACTTTACACAAGGAGATGCTGTATGKGAGAGTGATGCAGAGGAAGCCTTTTCTCCGCCCACATCACAAACAGAGCTGGTTGAGGTATGCTAAAGCACATTTGGACAAGCCAGCTTCATTTTGGAATAAGGTGCTGTGGACTGATGAAACTAAAATAGACTTTTTTGGGCAGAACATGGAGGAAAAAGAACACAGCACTCCATGAAAAACACCTGCTTCCTACAGTAAAATGTGGGGGTGGTTCCATCCTGCTGTGGGGCTGTGTGACCAGTACAGGGACTGGGAATCTTGTTAAAGTTGAGGGACGCATGGATTCCAACCAATATCAGCAGATTCTGGAGACCAATGTCCAGGAATCAGTGACAAAGCTGAAGCTGCTGAAGCYGGGGCTGCATCTTCCAACAGACAACCACCCTAAACACTGCTCAGAATCTACTAAGACCTTCATGCAGAGGAACAAGTAGAACGTTCTGGAATGGCCATCTCAGTCCCCAGACCTGAATATTATTGAAAATCTGTGGTGTCACTTAAAGAGAGCTGTCCATGCTCAGAAACCATCAAACCTGAATGAACTAGAGATGTTTTGTAAAGAAGAGTGGTCTAAAATACCTTCAGCCACAATCCAGACTCTCATTAGAAGCTCTATAGGAAGCGTTTAGAGTTATTTCTGCGAAAGGAGGATCTACTAAATATTGAGTAAATGTGTTTTTATTTTTTTTGTGCCCAAATTTATGCACCTGTCCAATTTTGTTCAACCAATTATTGCAGATTTTCTGTAAATCATATAAACTTCATTTCACTTCTCAAATATCACTGTGTTTGTCCGCTATATGATATATTTTACTGTTGTTTTTTTTTATCCAAACAGTCAATGATTTATAAAGGTAAATCAGGAAAATTAACAAGGCTSCCCAAACTTTCGCACCCCACTGTATCTGGGCCACGCAGAGTGCAGCTTTCACTCCAAATACACAAGTCACTMTTTTTCTTTCTTTCTTTGTGTTCCTACCAAACATCCAGCGGTGGGTCGGGTCAGTCCCAGAGGGAGGAGGACTTCTACTACACCAAGATCTGCTGTGAGACCCTCGAGTCCAGCACGGCTCCGGTTCTGGCTCCTGTTCCGGCTCCTGTGCCGGCTCCCACTCCTCTCCAACACACTCTGGCTCAGACCTCTTCCACTCATCTCAGCTGGGCCTCCTGTGGTTCCCCTTCTGGATCAGAGCTCCAGATCCCAGCTCACAGGCCCAGGTCCAACTCCAGCTCTGGACCAGGCCTGAGCAGGCCCAGTCCGCTGAGCCAGTCAGCTCCCAGCAGCTTCTGGCAGATCCACTCTGAGCATCTTTATCAGGTGGGTCAGCAGAACCAGCATCATATGTAGTCATATTTTTTATGTTAATAATATTAAAGGGATAGTTCGCATCATTTTAAATGGGGTTTTGTGCAAAGGTAGCAGTCAATATCTTACCTGTACTAGAGAACACTTTGAACATCCTCAGTTTGGAGAAATATTTAAAATCTGACTGGCTTGATGATCTAGTGTCTAGCACGATCCAAGACAGAAGTGGATTGTTAAAATGGTTCAATCTCCTAAATTTTGTAGCATTTYATTTTAACAATATTTTATCATCTTTGCGTCGCATTGTTAGTTAAAGACAAAAATCTATGATATTAATGAGGACTTATCCCAGCAGCAGGTAGYTGTAACATTTCCTGTCCAGCCTGTGCTTCTTTGAGTTAGGATATCATATTTCTGCAAAAAATGTGATACAGTTGGCTGAGTTGTATCCATTTTTGTGTTTGCTTAGTTTGATAAGCTGTGGTGAATCATTTTATAAACTCTGTTTTATCACTTGTTACTTATAATCTCTCCGTCTAGAAATAAGGTTTGTATGAATACTTTGAACTTTAAAGATATAAATTCCATATATTTTTTATTATGCGCACAAACTGCCAATAACGAACGCACACCGCACGACACAAATGCTCTGAGACAATCATGATTTGGGATGGCTCCAGGTTGGCACCTCTGCAGAGCCTGCAATTCGCCATGCGTTTTTCAGAAGCCATGGCCAAGAGGAAGGCTGTCTTTAATGACAGCCATTTGAGGTCCACCGCCATTAGAGGTTCGAAMGGGGGTGACCTGAGGGCCTCAAGCACCAACAAAAGGTCCCAAGCCGGTGCCACGGGCTGGCTTGGTGGATGCAGGCACSTAGCACCTTTTTAAAAWTKRAA